GACTGCTAGTCTACCTGTTTCATCTATGTTTTATAGATTAAGATTTAATTGTTTCAGTATAAATCTGAATTCTTTTGGAATTTGTAATACTCGTCATTCTTCCATATTAACCCGTGGAACATGTCAGATATTTTTTGGGTTTCAAGACAGCTTTATTTGGAACATTTTGTTTGCAGATTTAAAAGTACAGATAGAGGACTACTTCAAGAATGCCAATGAGGATGGACTCCCATTAATCCTCGAGAGTATTCAACAGAAGAAGATTTCCGGTAAGCATGATGACACAGATGATGAGCTGATGGAAGAGCTTCAAATGCAGCCGATAGATAATGTCAAAGACCATTTTGAATCAGATTTTGAGGAGGGCCATGAAACGGATGAAGAGATTGATGATTTGTACAATGCAAGGGATATTGTGGTGAAGAAATGGCAAGTGATCCATACTTCAACATGGATGACAGGAAGTGGGATGACATGATTGCAGAGGCTGTCGAACATGGGCATCTGAAGGATACTAGGGAGTGTGAAGCAATACTAGAGGACATGAAGCAATACTAGAGGACATGCTTAACTGGGACAAACTTCTACCAGGTAGTAAGTAATTCTATTCCTTTTATCGCTTTCAAAGTCAAATTGTAGAAAACAAACGTTCCATCTCTCTTGGTGGTTTTTGGATTGATCAGATGAATTTTTTTCTTTTGATTAAGATCACTTTAAATTTTGATGTGTCATGATGTGGAACTGCACAACATTTTTAAACAAAAAAGTACTATGACACACTTTTGACTTGTTGCTATTGAAATGTCTGTGCTGCCAATAGTAGCAATAACAGCTCTAACTGAATAAAAAGAGACTGGATATGAGGAAGTTGCTCTGAAATTCACCCCAGTTTATGGGGTTTCATTAATACTGACATAAAGAAGAAAATTTTAGAAGAGGTAGGAGTGGGATAGAAAACGAGAGTGTGCGCGAGATTATTCGCTCACCATGCCGCCTAAAGAACGTATTTGCAATCCTGTAAGATGCATGAAGTCAGTTATTGTACGTCCATCAACTGGAGGAAGTTCAAATGATGCGAAAAACTGTAACCTATATAAAAATAGCAGATCAATTTCTCATCCGTGGCCAAAAAACCATATCAGAACTTCCATGCCAAAATTTTGAGCCATTAGCATTATATTATGGCTTAGGTAGAGCAACTCCAACATTGTACTCATGCAGCATCTGGAACAGCTCATCCACGAACTGCACATTGAAGCGGGGAGTTACAAAGACGAGATAAGAAAGTGCCCTTAAATTAAAAAAAATCAAGCAAAGCATCATTATCAATTTTTCATTTTGTTCCCTTCTATTTTGACTCCGGCTTATCTCTCCATGCCCACATCCCAACCTCATGGAGCTGGGAAATGGGTTTGGGTTGGGAGCGAGTAAAAATGCATTGTTTTGACCTTAAAAGTACATGACAACAAATCAATTAATTAATGCCTTAATATATAAATAAAACTTTTGCATAAAGGCCAGATTCTGTTCCTTTTCAAACATAAGAAAGCTTTTTGAGTAACATATTGCAGCAACTCTGAATTAGAGTTAGACTCACATCTCCTTAGTTATTCCATGTTGCTTCCCTTGTTTAGGCTGTTGATTCCAACATCATTTTCTTCATCCTTCTGCCTAGCAGAAGTTGGTTTCTTTTCCCTTTTCTTCAGCATTTAAATTGTTTTCCAAGTCTTTTAACTGGATCAGCCTTTATCTTAAGGACTTCCAGAATTGTTATCCGCTGGCGATTCCGACATTTGTAGGTGCTGCATCCAACAGGAACCATGCTCCTGTCTGATACAACTTTCAGTCATAGCAGCACTGTTTTTTAGCTTTCTCAGACTAATCTTCTAGTGGGGTCTGGAGAAGATATCTTGAATTATTAATATCCTTCAAATTAGACTGAAGAGATTGGTTTATCCCACTTGATTTAGTGCTTTCTTGCTGCTTCCCCTATTAGATGACTGTCTTGATCTACCATGGTGCATTGAACGCCCTGAATAGGCGCATCATTTGCTGCCATAGAGCAAAAGACAAGGGCACAGGACACTGGAAAAGATTGCTAAGCTCAAACTCCACTCATGACTTGTGGAGCATTATTCATATAATTTCATCTTAAATACATGTTAGATTAATATGTTTGAAATGATAATGCTTGTGTTCAGAAAAATAAAAAAGATTTGATAAAGCTCAATGCATTTGACTTTGTGGATTTGCATAGTGACACAATATCATGGGACCATTATGTGCACATATTTCCACTCTCAAACATTGTAGTAATTTTTTCCAATACTTTATACACTCTGTTTGAGTTGATTTTATTATTTAACAATTCTCAGTCAAGATCAAAAAGAAAGTGGAAATGAAGTTTGACGAGAGAGCAAATAGGATTGAAAAAGGTGAACTGGTAGTTGAAGAAGGCTATGCATTGTTTAAAGAGTTTGAAGACCAAATGGTGTTGCAATGTGTTAAGCTGTGGAGGCAGAGGCTCCTAAACAGTTTGATGAGATGCTGTGCCCCATAAGAAAAATGACCTTGATGACCCACCAGGTGAGGGCTCAATTCTGAGGTGGCAAACACGTGTGGTCTTTGCTCCTGGTGGTGATGCATGGCACCCAAAAAATAGAAAAGTAAAATTGTCTGTTACTGTCAAAGAGCTTGGTTTGTCAAAGCATTAATTCTGTCGGCTAAAAGAATTAGCAGGAAGGCGATGCAATCCAGGAAAAGATGAACTTACCATAACCAGTGAGAACTCAGTGGCAGACAGTGTGTTGCTTTTTCTCGTCAACTAGTGACCTTGATAATGCTTGAATGTCTGTGAAATTATGTAGCATCTGATTCTCGTCCAGCGAATTTCCTCTTACTTTGGATACTAATAAATTTTAATTGAACTAAGTAACATGGGCTCAACCTAGATTCTATATCTTTTTATTACTCCTGAATCTAGGGTGAAGTTTCTAGGGACCCAACAAAGATATCACAGCTTAGCGAAATTTCAGCCATTCTTCAGCTGTCCCTTTTTCTCTATTTTAACTTTATGTTCTCTACCAGGTTTGAACATCGGGAGGAGAACAGAAAGGATTGCCTCTGGACTCCATTTGCTTTGATTTAGAAGGCGGGTAAAGCTAGGAAACTGGTGGAGGAAGCTGGAACTTCAAACATGAAAGAAACACTTGAAGCTAATCCAAAGTTCATGCAGAGGTTGCAAGCCAAGATGGCGAAAACAAGAGAATCTACTTCATTACCTGCATGAGAGAACTTGACTGCTGGGATCTTCAGACAATGATTTCAATGATAAATTCCTTTAAAGTAGTTTCCTTGTCTATGTAGAAATTAGTTTGCACTGGTAGGTATAGATCCCCAGTATGAGGCACTAAGTTAACATCTAATCCTCTCTCAAGTCTGAAATAGATAAACACTGGTCCATCCTGAATTACAGAGGCAAGTTCCTAAGGTTATAGAGGTTGTCTCTAATACTTTAGCGTTTGCTATAAAGATTGCCCGAAGTGGTTGAAAAACAAGCAAGCTGAAGAGAGGAAGAAATCTGCTTAGATTGCTACCATTGTTGCCTCTCAGTACAATTCTTATCTATCTCAATTAACTCCTCAAGTAGGAAATCTAACCAAGATGATGAGTGGAATTGGTATGAGAGGGGGTGGCTTTCACAACATGGAGTTTCAATCTGAGTAAAGTAACGATTTTCAAGCAGTGGGTCATTCCATACATAATGATCCATTTGGGCATATATTGATGCACCAACTTATACGGGAGAGTTGTAATAGAGATCTTAGAACAGGATTTAGAATCTTCATTCTAGCTCGTGTCCTAGTCTTGTTAGGTTTTTTTTTTTCCTTCTAGTAAAACGATTTTGTAATCTTTCCTTTTTCTTCTCCTTCTATATATAGGCTTGCAGTCCTATATATATGATTGATTATGTAAGTTTGTTTAATAACAAAGAGAGTGTTTATTATGTTCAAAACTTTTAATTCTGCATTTTCCGAAAGCAACCAATTAGGAAAACATCCTCGTAGGTGATGGTTGGACAGATCAATGAATTAAGAGTATGAATACTTTCAACTCAAATTTGGGGTCCATTTTAACTTTTCTATTTCAACATCCAATTTTCCTGTATTCATTAGTTCAATGATCTCCTTAGAATGATTGTCAAATAAACTAAGAGTGTGTTTGATTGGCATGAAAAATGTTTCTTAGAAAAGAAAATGTTTTTCTTGTTTTGAAGAAAACAAAAACTTATCACCCCTAAAGAAAATGTTTTTCTCAAAAACATGGAAAATTAGGCATATTTTCAAAGATTGTAAAATATTTTCCATGGAAAAATAGCTATTAAACATACCCTAAGTGTAATTTACCCATGAATTCATTAGATTTTAGGCTGATATATTCCAGGAAGTTGAGGTTGGATATTATGAAGGAAACAACTCCTTTGAATCGATTCATAGAAAGATTCTAAACTCTTTTAACGAGCTCAAGTTTGTGAGATAATGAAGGGGCTTTCCATCAAAGGTGTTTAAACTGAGGTTTAACTGTTAAAAGGTTTTTAAGTTCGCAAAACCTGCAAATTCTAGAGTGGGAGATAAGAATCCTCAAAAGTTTAGCAAAACAATGCATACATCACTAACCCATCCGCCCTCTACAAGTTTTTCACGAACTGAGTATCATTTCAACTGGGAATTTCCTGATATTACTAGAGTTAATCTTGTACCTTGAGTGGCAAGGAACCAAAAAGATTGCCTATACATCATATAAATGGTAAATGTCAAAGGGAAGGAATTGATACGAGGAAAAAATGAAACAAAGAGGAATAAAAGCAGATGATTACTTGGAGATTTTTAACTATTAATTACCCGCTACAGACCTTTCACTTGTATCCCAAACTTGCATATAAGAGGTACAGAGTCATCTAGCACTTATAATATCATAACTCCACAAATTGAACACCTTTGCTAGGAGAGATTCATATACAAAACAGCAATTGCTGCTAGAAAGAACGCGATGTAGGAAACAATAAAAGTGGGATAAAAATCTGCTATATCTATTTTGTACCATTTCCTGTCCTCTCTCTCTGAACTGGATGATGACTTTGGCATCTCCCCAGTGGAAGAGCATTTATTTTCCAGTGGAAGTCCACAAAGATACAGATTTCCCTCATAACTGCTCCTATCAAAAGTCCCAAATTGTGCTTTCATTTCTAGAGTTTTACCTGACAAGTTGTTATAAGCCACACTGAACGTTTCCAGAAAGTGGAGATTCAGCAATTCAGGTGGAATCTCTCCACTCAATCTGTTGTATGAAAGGTCTAAACTTTCTATCTGGGAAAGACGAGAGAAAATTTTAGGAATGGAACTCTTAAGACCGTTATGAGACAAGTTTATCGCATGAAGTGAACCCAAATCTCCAATTTCATGTGGGATTTCTCCTGTTAGATTGTTGCATGACAAATCGAATCCCGACATGTAGTTGAGGATTTTTCCCTTGTAGGAGCCGGACCTTTCTTTTGTAACAAATTTGACAGCAAATAATATATCGTATCCATAGTATCCTTTGACTGCATTCTCTTGGTCATAAGTCCTCACCAAGATATTCCCATATGTACAGATTGGACGATTTTCCCATTCAATGCTGTATCTTGAGCCGAATACTTGATCGTACACACCAAATTTCCCGAAAGAGATGTTATTGATGCAATGAGGAATAATCCCTGAGAATTTGTTGTGGGACAGGTCCATCAGGGAGACTTTGTTCAAATTACATATGTGGCTGGGAATGGAGCCATTCAACTGATTTGACCCCAACAGAAGAATCCTCAAGTCGGAGAGCGCATGGATTGAGTTGGGGATCGTACCAGACAGAAGGTTATCACTCATATCCAATGTTACTAGATATGATGAATTTAGAAAATCATCTGGTATTGGTCCGGTAAACTTGTTTCCCTGTAAAACTGTGTGACCCTGGATGGTCGAGCAAGATGGTAAAGGCCCCAAAAGAGAGTTATGTGAGATGTCTAAAAGCTCGTATGGCCCTAGTTGACACGGGAGCCGGCCTCTGAAGAAGTTATTGTACATGAGGACATTCTTCATGAATGTTATATTAGATATCCAACTGACTTCACCTGAGAAATTGTTGCTGCTAATGTCCCACATACTCACGGCAGGGCTCAAAGTGAAAATATTTGACACAGTTCCAGAGAAGTGGTTGTCCTCTAGGCTTAAAACAATTATACTTGTCCAGTTGAAGCCACTAGCAAATATTTCCCCTTCGAACTTATTGCTGGATAATTTGAGAATAGATAAATAGATGCATTCGAAAATCAGTTCTTTTGGTATTTCTCCATAAAAGTTGTTGAAAGACAAGTCCAATTGACTCAAGTTAGACATGTTGCCGAATGAGGATGGAATGGTACCATCGAAATAGTTTCTGGATAGGTTAAGATAATCAATGCTTAGAAGCTTTTTTCCCATGTTTTTCCCTACCTGTCCAGTGAACTCATTGTTTGAACGATCGTACCAATAAATGCAATTGTTCTTATGAGGAGGCAGTGATAACTGGCCAACAAGAGAGTTGTTTCTTAAGTTTAAAACTTCTAATCCTGCATTTTTTTGAAGCAACCAATTAGGAATATTTCCTCGCGGGTTGTTTTGGGAGAGATCAATCAGATAAAGCTTGTATTGGCTTGAAAGAAATGTGGGGATATTGCCACTGAGTTTATTAAGGCTACAATTGGACAGTAGAAGAACTTTCAATTGAAAACTTGGGGTCCAATTTGAATTTTCGGTTTCAACATCCATTTTTCCCATATTCGCCAATTCAACGATCTCCAACTTAGAATGATTGGCCAATAAACTAAGTGATAATTTACCCTCGAATTCGTTATCCTTTAGGCTCATGTATTCCAGAGATGTGAGGTTGGATATTATGAAGGAAATGTCTCCTTTGAAACGATTCTTAGAAAGATCTAAAACTCTTATAGAGCTCAAGCTGGTGAAACAATGAGGGAGTTGTCCTTCAAAGGTGTTTAGACTGAGGTCTAATTTTTGAAGGTTTTTAAGTTCACAAAAACCTGCAAATGATGGAGTATGAAATAAGCGTCCTCAAAAGTTTAGCAAAAGCATGCATAGATCACAAATCCCTAATCCCTTAACAAAAAGTGGAGAACTGAGTGTCATCTCAACTGAGAAAGATGATTAATATTTAAGAAGCATGGATTCGAATGCGTAATTCGAATACAATACGATATGGGTAAGTCCAAAACCATAATAATAAAATAAAATACTAAAATATTTTATTTTAATCATTAATTGTACCAATTTCATTTTCTTCAACATCACAAATATCAGCTCCTTCATTTATCATTAAAAATAATATTCTCCAACTCTGACTTATATAATGATAGATTAACAACGTCAAACAACCAAATATTTTTGAGAGCATCAAATGTTTTCGATAATCCCATATTTTAGATTCTCCTTTTGAATAGAAATTTAATTTTCTTGATAAAAACATATATTGATTTGAATGGAAATCAAGTTATTATATATATGGTGGAGTTTGATTTTATTACACGCATTTTTATATGTATTAAACTATTATCTATTCCTAATAATAAAAATGTATTTATCAACTATTATCATGATTTTACGTGTATTAAAATATTTAATGCTATTGTGTATCTTTAAAAAAAACAAAAAAAAACTCTACCCTCTCCATTCTATAAGATAGACCTACTTTTCATTTTTGGACGGATTAAGAAAAAGTAAATTATTTAACATGGAATAATATGAATTTACTATTTTACCCTTTTAAAGTTAGTCAAAGCATGGTGAAAATCAACTTTTCTCGTCAACTAATGGTCAAATAGACAAAATCCATCCATCCCTTGTTTTGCCGCAATAAAATGACAAGTTTGGCACTTAGGGTGCCACAAATGAAAGATTTGTGTAGAGTTTGCGATAACCTGTAAGGTTCGATCGTGGATGCAATTATCCTAAAGTAAATATGTGTAGAAGAGGCTCAATATATTTAATCTTGTACCTTTACTGGGCAGGAAACTGTTAAGCTTGTTTTCTGCCAATGATAGTGCCGTAAGGGAGGACATGAGCCCAATTATTTGAGGCACGCTCCCCATGAACTTTTTCATGCTCAAATCTAGGACCTTTAAGTTCTTGAAAGATATAAGATCTGGCCCAAAAAAAGAAAAAAAAATCTATATAGTTAGTGGACAAGACTTTACCTTATATTTGGAAAAGAAATTTGATTTACTCTTCTTAATGCTACAAGGGGGATTTTGTCTAAACCTTGAATAGGTAGATGACCAGTTAGTTGATTTTCTCTTAAAATTAGGACTTCCAGATTCTTGTTCAGGCTGTCCAATTTTGCATAAAGAACAGTTACTTGAATGTCAATAATTTTCTTATTTTTGCTAACTTTTTATCTAGTTTTGAAGTTTTTGAAATCAATTTGAATAAGGATAGCGTACCATTACTTGAAATTGGACCTTCTATCCCATTTTGTTGTAACGATAAGAATTTAAGTGCCTTTAGATTTCTCAATGACTTCAGAAAGGGCTTGTCGAAATTGTTGTTGCCTAAATCTAGGTGCTTCAACTTTCTCAACTGGGATAAACTTGTTGTATCTGTAGAAATCCCACGACATCATCGAATGAATCAAGATACAAGGATAAAACTTGTGTTCATGACTAATCTTCCATGTGATCAGTTTCTAAACTATACTTCAAGCAGTGCCTGACTATAAATGAAACAGAGTTATCGTGAAATTGAAATAACTATGTACCTTCGCTTTATTACTTGTTCATGATTTATTCCAATTGTTGAGAAATACCATAATTTGAGGATTAAACCACACTCGATAGGGATTAAAGAAGAAACTTGTATTGTAGCGTCGAATGTTGTGTACCAATTGAATGCTCAAAGTCTAAAATTATTCACCTTGCAACGAGAGGTTACTCTCAAAACTGTTATAACTTAAATCCAATATTTCCAAGTTCCACAAAGCCGATAGATCTGCAATCAATAAAGATCAAAAGATAAGAAGAGAAACTTATCTCTGTCTAACAAGCTGAGAAAGGTAGATTTTATATAAAATGCCAATTATCAATATATTACTAATGCAAATTTACATGCCTTGTACAGGAAGAAGCCCTTCAAATTCACTGTGACTGAGGTTTAAAAACTTCAACTGCTTGAGTGCGCTAAGAGACTTGAAGATGCTGTTCGACTCGAACCCATTAGAAGCAAGGTTTAACTTCTCTAACCTCTTCAAATGGACCAATTTTATAAAACCTACTTAGAATGCACTGATTGATTTCGTCAATATTATATTAATCTTCTACTAAAGTTATGAGTAAACTAACTGTACATAAGATGGAGTTTATCACATAATAAAATCTTAAACTCTGATTATAATTAAGTTTAACTTCGAATACTAGGCTAATATATTACCTGTAGTATTAGCAAAACTCCACAAGTTATTTCCAAATAAATCAAGAATTTTTATTTCTTTGAAAGGGGAAAATAAGGAGACATTAAAAAAATAATCTAGGGGATCAAGAGTTTTTGGAATATGTAATTTGTTAAGATCGAGCTCGACAACTCTGCCAGTAGTTGGATCACAGGTGACTCTCTCCCAGTTGCAGCAGTTATTCTCTTTTCCATGAATCCATGAAAGAAGCGTAGTCTCTTCTTCACCATTCATCAATCGAAAACATGTCTTAATTTCCAGAAGACCCCTTCTCTCCTCCTCAATTCAACCATGGAATCCATTGATTTGTAATAAAATTGTAAAAGCCAACAACAAGCAGTTCATTGGCAGCGACCCCATTAGTTTTTTTGATGATAACTTTTTAGAACTGCATTAATAATATCTGAACTTGAAGTCATTGGCCAAGTCTTCTAGCCTTGTCAACACCCCTACCCCTACTCTAGAGTTGTACGAAGGGTCATGTCGAACTATCAAAGCCCAGAGTTTCTAGCGTGTCGGACCAACCCAAGTCAACCGAGTCTGGTCTATTTCTTATGATCTTGTCCTTCATCATTCCTCCATCACCTTTCTACTCATGACTCATGTGGCCATGTTCTCTTTGAAAGAATTAGTTGAAGAGACCATGGTGTATTATGTATCATTTTGAAGTATGTCATTCATAAGTATGTTTTATGCTTTTATTCAAATTTTGATTATAATTTATCATAATATTGAGCGAATATGTATTTAAGTTATGTTACTTTATGATTGATTTAGGTAAAATCTGGATTGAGCAAGTTTGAATGAAATTGGATTAAAGTGGTACAAAATTGAGGAATTGTCAACAAAATAATCAAGGCTCGAAGTTGAGGACCTACCATGCAAATAAAGAGGATATGAGATGCACAAAAATTAATATGGAGGACCAAAGTGCCCGAAATTTGAAGAAAATTCCAGCTTTAGATGATTTTCGAATTACACTCAAATTCAAAATTGGAGATGCTTTAGGATTCTTTTTTAGAGTTATTATGGACTTCTGTTTATAGTTTTAATCGTTCTCTTTATGGGACACAGAATTTTGGAGAGAAAAACATAAAAAACGATCAAATAGTGAAAAATTATGAGCATTTTCGATAGTGATTATAAGAATTGATTTTTGAAGGTTAGAGAGAAAAAGTGGTTCCCACTTGTGAGTGAAGAAGTAAAAAATGACGGCTAACTTAAGGAAGTAAATGTCAAAAAATTAATTTTTTGGGGTGAAGAATCAGAACCAAACGGGAGCTTGAAGAAGAAGATTTTTTGTGCAAGATTCAATTCATTCGTTCGTCAAGATTATAAACTCTATTCCCTTTTATAATTTTTCTTTCATTAGCATGATTAGCTAAATAATTAGTTAAGGCAAACAATATAATTTATGTGTGACCCTTTAATTTAATTTTCAAGATTTTAGTAGTTTAATTAATGTGTTAATTCTATCTATGTTATTTAAAGTGAATTATTTGGTCAACAATTTGATGATTTGTGAATCTATAACAAACTGAAAGGTAAATTATAGATTTAGATCACATAATAAAATTTGATAATGGGTATTAAAGTTCAGAGAGACCTTTTCTAGTTAGTGCAATCGTTACATTGATTCTTAGATATTTAATGCAATTAATTAAGGAGAATCCAAATTCATATTTACTTAGATAAATATAATCATTTTGAACTCGAGAGAGGTAAATTGAATACATTGGAAGGCTTTGATTGAACACTAAAATAGGTAAAGAATCTTGATTAGCTAATTAAAGGGGGTCTATAGATGATATTGTAAATCCTAATATCCACATTCTCACCTAGCATATTACTAGCTCCATCATATCTTTGACCTTTTAAATTAGATATACTTAAGCTATGTTTGGAGAATAATCGTCAATTCCAGTCTTAAGTAAGACAATTATGGTACTCCAAACATGTGTGACACCAATAAAATGTTTCAATACACAATCATTCTTCACATAATGAATAACAACTGACATTTGCTTCTTTATTGAAATGTAACATGATTCATCAACTGAAGTATAAAACAAACTATTACCCATATCATTGATAATCACATTTAGACTTTTATAAGCAATAGCACTTACAATAGCTTTTTGAACTAGTGGTGATGTTAATTTGAAATTTTCAGGCGCATTCCTTAAAGCAACAGCCTTAATCTCGACATTATGTTCACACAACCAATACAATAGTGCAAGAAAGTTCCCTTGATTTTTTGTATCTTTAGATTCATCATGTGACATGGTCTATCATTGATGTTGGGACTATAAGCCAAACAAGCACGAGAAACTGGGATCAAAAGGAGATGTCAACTCCAACATGGACAAGTTCAGAGTTCCCTCTTCTTCAATATACAAAATGAGTATTTATTTCAATAAATGTTTTGAAGCTTTAGTATTGGCCACAACTTGCATCTACTACAACATGCATGGTTCTCTCTATGATTAAGCTTATTCACCATAACTATAGAGAAGTCGAGAAAAAGGATAAGGTTAAGAGAACCTGAAATTGGCTCTCATTATATTCTATTCATTGGCCCTGGCAGAGGCATTGCTCTTTCTTTTGGAGAACGCGAGCATTCTGGGAAGTGCAATTTAGGACAATCAGAGAAAGATTTGATCAAAATATTCTTCTACAATGCCTATTCAAAATGTGTTGATGGAAGCATTTTTTACGGTATGAAAATGGACATGGTTTCATTTGCCATGGAACTTATTGGATCCAGATGAATAACTTATTGGATCCATGATGAATAACTTATTGGAACATTCTAATTCCCATGATGAATAACTTATTGGATCCAGATGCTTAAGAAAATTTGTTCAAAGAAATTT